AGTTTTAAAGAGTTGGATCTGGTCGTTTTCACCGTTAAATAATTTTTCTTTCCTTATTTTCGAATTCCGCCCCCTGGAGGGGTGGTAAGTGATTTTTCGAATGATTAGTAAGAGATGAACCTGACTACGATTAAAAAGCAATTTGAAGGTGGGACCTGATCGTTTTCACATTTACATAATTTTTTGTTACATCATTTTCAAATTTGCCCCCCCCCCCTGAACGGGTGGAAGTGATTTTCCGAATTACTAATCCTGTATACGATTTTTAAAGAGCAATTTGAAGTTAGGATCCGATTGTCTTAACATTTTTTCCTACATTATTTTCGAATTTGCCCCCCCCCCCTCCCTTGGACGGGTGGTAAATGATTTTCCAAATGACTAAGTAAGAGATAAATGCTGTATAAGTGTATACCATTTTTAAACAGCAATTTGAAGCTGGGATCTGGTCAATACTGTATACGATTTTTAAAGAGTAATTTGAAGTTGTGATCTGATCGTCTTCACAGTTAAATGATTTTTCTTGTCTCATTTTCGAATTTGCCCCTCCCCCCTGGACGGGTGATAAGTAACTTTCCGAATAACTAGTAAAAGACAATCATGTTTCTTACATTATTTTCGTTTTTGCCCCCCCCCCCCTCCCGAACGGGTGGAAGTGATTTTCCGAATGACTAGTAAGAGATAATCCTGTATACGATTTTTAAAGAGCAATTTGAAGTTAAGATCTCGTCGTCTTCACATTTAAATAATTTTTTCTTACATTATTTTCAAATTGACCCCCCTCCCCCTGGACGGGTGATAAGTGATTTTACGAATGAATAGTAAGAGAAGATCCTGACTACGATTTTTAAACAATAATTTGAAGTTGGGATCTTGGCGTCTTTTTTGTTACATTATTTTCGAATTTGCCCCCACCCCCACCCCCCCTGGACGGGTAGTAAGTGATTTTCCGAACGAAAGAGTTGGATCTGGTCGTTTTCACCGTTAAATAATTTTTATTTCCTTTTTTTCGAATCCCCCCTCCCCTCCTCTGGAGGGGTGGTAAGTGGTTTTTCGAATGATTAGTAAGAGATGATCCTGTATACGATTTTGAAAGAGTAATTTGAAGTTGGGAGCTGGTCGTCTTCACATTTAAATAACTTTTTGCTACATTCTTTTCGAATTTTCCGCCGCCCCCTCCCCTCGGGCGAGTGGTAAGTAATTTTCCGAACGAATAGTAAAAGGTGATCCTGTATACGATTTTTAAAGAGTAATTTTAAGTTTGCATTTGACCATCTTGTGTGCCGTTCTGCACGCCACTGTACTTGTTCGTTGGGTACCTGGGGATAATTTACTGGAAAAATCTACAGCTAAATTCACGCCGGTGTTGCGTCACCACGCTACTTGTTCTTTACATAGACTTAGCACACACATTTCTTCTACTACAGTTGCTGGGTTGTTTGAAACTCACACATCAGTACGTTGCTTTGTAACGGGGGTCCGTTAACGAATTTTATTTGATTCGAATTTTACTTAAACTTTTTTAAGTCTACGTGGGTGAGTGGCCCTGACTTTCTAAATGGGTTTGAAAGCATGGAGCGGGAGAGAGTTGTCGGCCCGTGTGGCGCAGTTCAGTTAAAGCTGAACTGTGGCGCTAAGGGTCCCTGGTTCGGGCATGAATATTTGTAAACGTATAGTGGGTTGGGTTGGTACAGCCTTGGCTGAAACCCCGCCAACTCAAAAATAAAGGCGAAATAAAATAAAACAAAACAAGTATAAATTGTGCACTACCCTTGTACAGATAAGCGCATTTTTTTAAAACGAAATAGCGTTTGTTTTGACATCACCAATGGATATATTTATTGCAGATGTCTCAAACGCCCTTTGTGAGCACCCTCTTCCGTCAATCCGTTCTTGAGGTATAAGGGAAAACGTCGGATCACGATAAGAGGTCGAGGAGGAGGGCTATGGTCGGTAGAAATTAATTCCTTTCGTTGAGACCTTTCATTAGAGCACCATGAAGGATAAAACTAGTTCCACTCCCCCCTCCCCCTCCGCCCCGTACTTTGATAAGAAGACAGAAAGAAGGGCAGTAGTTAGTAGAAAACGGTTCCTTTCGTTGAGACCTTTAATTAGAATACAATGAGAGATAATATTAATTTTAAGCCCCCCCCCCCCAGGCCCCGTCGCTCACTGATCTCGAAAAAGAGTCGCGCTGGAAAGAGTTTGTACAAACCAATTTATTCCAATGAGACCTTTCATTAGAATACCATGAAGGGCAGTACATGTGCCCCCCCCCCTTCCCCATTTCCTAAAGTTTAACTTAGCACCACTAAAGGCATGCGTATGCAATATCTAAGACCAATTGGTTGTCGTATGTAAAAGTTATGCACGTTTACTTTCAAAAACAGCATCTCAAGAAATAATTCGTGGAGGGGGGCCCTTTTAAACAGCGAAATTTGATGGCCGTCTGGCACACCTTCAAGGTATAGGCTACCTACTGCAAAAAATTCTAGGATTCTAGGACCATTCCCCTAGAAGTAGTTCAAAACGGTAGAAGTGGGTTCGGACGGACAGACGGACAAAACGCAAACAATAGTACATTTTTTTTAATTCTTAAAAAATGCGCTAAAAAATATATATAGCGTTCGGATTGACGTCGTTATCGAGGCTAGTACGTGGCGTGGGTTTTGTAACATCAGCAGAAAATTACTTCACGTTGAATTAATCAATCAACGAATTTGATTGGTTGCGTAAAATTAGTTTTATTGGTGGAAAATGTTTTACGATCCGTAATGGGTGTCACTCAAAAAGGGAAAGTAGTGGTAAGTTGGTTGTCCGAGGAGAACGGTGAACCGTGAACAAAGTCAAGTGAACCACCTGTAACTTATTGTAGGGTGGTGTTTCGTGTTATTCGAATTCGCGTCGAACTGTGGGAATTAGCGCAAAGACGGTCACCTGTAATTTAGCGCAGGGTGTATTCAGTTTATGAAAATTTCACGTTGAGTGCGAGCGAAGTTCAGTTAACTAATACCTGTTATTCCTTTTGGAGACATTTCGTACGACCACGGTACCTAAGCAGCGAGTATGTGTAAACTAAACGAGCGAAATTGTGAATTAAAGTTAGATGACCTTCATACTCAAGGGATAACTTGCGAATTTGAAGCTATTGCGATAAATCTGAACGACGCTGGAAGTTTAAACGCGTGAAATTGCGAATTAAAGTTGGTGGCCCTCATTTACAAGGAATAATATCAATTGAAAACTATTACGTTAAATACGATCAATAGTGGAAGTTTCAACCCGCAACAATGAAACCGGCATGACCTTAAATCAAAGTGATCGAGATTCGAGACAGAAAATTCGTTGCGAGTGCAGGGAAGGGAGACATATTAAACGCACGAATTTAAACTCTGTCATTCAAGAATTGTAATGTTCTCACGCCTTTGAAGCGGTTAACGGTGCGCAAATAATATTTTTGTATATGACATTGACATTCACCATCGGATTAAGCCATTTGGGGTAATCGTAATTTGAATTGACCCTCCAAGGGTGCCATTCATTGAGAGCTAGGATTTTCTATCGGCAGTCTTTTTCGACTATTGGAAACAACCTAGTGGACAATAAGTACCTACTTACTTCGAGTCATAGAAAAAAAGGTTCATTCTCATTGAAATTCCGTTATAGTGAGCTAGCCGACGGCATAATTTTATATGAAATATTAGCGCATTTTTCAACTTGTTGCGCAATGTTAACTTTCTTATTTATAGATATTTTTTTGAAATTTGAACCACAGATGCTGCTAGTAAAGACAAGCATATCGCATATGGTAATAATAAGATGTGCGCATGCGCAAACTTTCTGATTTATACAAACAAACTGCGCTATTATTACCACTTTATCCGTTAGAGCCTTTAACTACTCCTACAGTTTTTGAGATATTTGGTTCGTTTTTTTTGCATTTGGTAGGTTATGGCTCTGGCACGATCAATGTGCGCATGTGGATTGTACAGGTTACGCAATATAAATGTTATTTTTTAATATATTTTTGTATTTCGCTATCATATTGTTTAAAATTTTTTTCAATCAAATTGGGATTTTCTCAGACATCATCGAATACCTGCAGCTATCCATAGGATCTTCTCAGATAGACACGAACAACTTATACTATGCCATCAAAAAAGAATTCCCGTCGAGTCACCTTTGGAATTTTTGTTTACACGGGAAATCTCTGTTATTTTGAGGACAATTAAAAATAATGATAATGAGTAGAAACATAACAAAACAGAATGTGCCTAATTAAATTAAATGTGATGTTAGTTTTTATTCTCATTTTTATTGAGATAAAGATATAGAAAAATATTACAAGTAGCAAAGCAAATTTTTGAGCCGTTGACAATGTTACTAGGTATACAAAATTGGAAAGCAAATCAACAATGCAAACCCTGGAAGCTACCGAAAGAATAAAAACTCAGAACAAAAATTTTATAATTTCCTGAAATGAACATGCTGTATTTTGTTTCCGATTACTGATACCACAGACAACATAGGTATTCTGTGCTGGCTCAATGTGATAAATAATTCCTTTCCGAGATGTTGTCAAACGAATAGTCGCATAAACACGTATTCCTTAGGAAACCAAAAAATGCAAAGTACTCTTCCGTTTTGTCATTTCTGATAATGAATATCTAGCTACTTCCCTCATGATAAGCGCTAATATATGACTCATGACGAAAAAATTGCCACTTTATTCCACGCATTGGCCTAATACTTTTACGGCAAAACAAATACAATAAAAATAGGGCAAGCTCCAATCTAGACGATTAACGTAAATTAAGAATTATGCCCAGCACTAATTGTAGTTTAATTAAAAAAGAATCGGGTAAGCCGGAGCCATCTCTTTTGTACCAAACGAACTATAAACAAGTATTAAAGAGATCAACACCTGGCATGTCCAATTGTAATAATTAGACATTTAAACAGCAACTTTTTACTTCTTTCACCTGTCTTATAAGTAGTCCTACCTGTATTTCGAGTAGTAATTCCGTTTTTCGTCTCCGAATTTCGATTAAAATCTTCTGCTGCTCAGGTGTCAGTTCTAAAAACAAATGACTGCTTAATTGGGATGACAAGTGCGGACGTTTTAGGCCAACTTGATCAACAGCTGACTGCATTTGAGGAATATGGGGCTTACTTGCCCGAGGTAAATATGACATTTATTTTACCTGGTACTCCGCCGAATCCCTCCAAAGTATGTCCCGTTGAACCCATATTAATTAAATGTTTTTCTTTCAACATAATTTTGGAAAAAATACAAAGAAGGCATTTAAATTAAAAACCACTACATGGTTATTTATGATAATAGAACCGCCATTTTTGTTTATCCGTTACCACTGATTTTCGTCAGGTGGTGCCAATGTCGTCTGAATAAAGTTACTAGTTTCTCCACACCACAGAACAGTGGCGGGTTGTTACATAAATTATGTAAAGTTACGGGACCGGGTCCCGGGAGTCGGGCAGTCGGCTTGGATGAAAAAATCTTAGATCATTGTTAATATGTATGATCTAAGGAAAAAATAACTGGATTGCTTGCCAAATTTCATTTATGATGAAGCCAACATCAACAGCGCCATCACAAGGTGGTGTGCGTTTTGTGAAACGAAGTTTTAATTTTAGTAAATTTTACAAGATTTGATTGTACGTGTTTTATAGATAGTGGTTTTATGTAATTTTATGTTAGTGAGTTCTTTAGTTGTGTTACGTTTATATATTTAATCAAAAATGGAACGCAGAAGTTGTTTCGTAAAGAACTGTGATGCAGCTTATAATATCAAAAACAAGGACGTTAAAACGGAAACGTTTTTCGCGTAAGTAGAAGCTCAAAAAAATATAATTGTGAATCTCTAATTATATTTTATAGATTTCCTTCAGATGCTGTACCTGTAATACAAAACAAAATTTCTCTATCGAAAAGTAATGGAAATTAAGTACTGGGTTGTTTGATGGTGGCCGACATGCCTCCAGCCAAATATGCCATGGTGTGCCTGTTGACGTGCATAAATTATCATTGGAAAATTCCTGTGGCATACTTTTTAATTACTGGATTGATTAGGAGTGAAAGAGCCATTATAAACAGCAAGTTCTTGAATTTTGAAAACCATCGAACATTAAAATTGTTTGACATTTGATGGGCATCCTTCCGAACATCACTATGTGTCAGGAATTGGGTGTCAATATTTGGAGTGAAGACACAAAACTTTTGATACACAATGAAATAAAATCGCCAGCTGCGGCAAATTGTATAGCTGTAGATGATACTAATATTTAAGAAAAAAAATTGCACATCTACTTATGATACACAAACTTCAAATATAACTGATATCGAAGTGGAAGTTGACCACATTCTCATAGAATCAAATAACATAACAATTTCTGAAATTGTTTGTTACATTGCTGTTTCACTGAAATTCATTTCATTGGCCAGAAACTTTTTGTAAAGTGCCGACATTTGTAAAATAAAAACTTATTCCACTATCTATTCTTATCATTATCCAAAAATTATACCTACTTCAAATTTATTATATAAATTAATTCATTATATAGGTATTGTTATTGTATAAAATATTGTGTGTAGGTATGTCCTTGCAAATTTCATATATTGTACCTCAGATTTAGTTCTTATTTTAGTCATACCCAGTGATGGCGCTGCAGATGTTGCCTTCAAGCATTGTTTATTCATTTAAATATTAATGAATAAACAGAGCTTCAAGTTTGATACTAGACATTCATACGATAGCAGTCCAGGTTTAAATGGTCGATGGGAGTCTGTCAAATGAAAAATTTGACCAAATGAAATTGCCAATTTAAATTTTAGGTACAGTTCACAGTGTTTTTAATGTGTACACTACCGTCATGAAATTTGATACATAGGCACTTGGAATAATGGAATATCAAACGCCAGTTTCAAAATTTGGTTTTGCGTATGCGCAGTGCCAACTTTTTTTATTTATGGAAGCATTTAAATGAAATGTGATACATAGGCACTTGGAATAAAGGAAAATCAAACGTTAGTTTCAAAATTTAGATTTGCGCATGCGCAGTTCCAACTTTCTGATTTAGAAAAGCATTTAAATGAAATTCTTATAAACTGAAATCTGAAGTAGCACGTCCAAAATGGATTGCACATTTGCAACGCTATCTTTTATATTTGTGGCCGGATTTTTACGATTTTAACAGAAGTTGCACCTTACAAATGGGAAATGAATGTGTTGCGTCCCCAAACTAGAATAAAATATCCTATCGTTTTTCCTTTAATGAAAATACCCTGTACATAACCGTTTTGCCTTGCCTATATATATTCCTACTTGTTACGTGTGCGCGTATGAGCCGCAGAAGTGCAATATTGAGAATTCGTCGTTCATCAATGACCGATTAGCCTTCGTCGTTTGCATATAGATCTCGATCGATCCACAACAAATCAAGATTTCACCGTGCAGTTCGCAACATCGATATTGTTAACAAGTAGAACGTCAACACAGCATATCATGAAGATTTCGTTGTGTCAAAATCGTAGAAAAGAGCAATCTTCGTCATTGCAATATCCCCTTCGTTGTTAATGTCCTTTGTTTACATTATCCTTTCGTAGCTTTGCCACTTTCTGGTAGCGCGTCGTGCCTACGTCAACCATATTCAATAGAAATTCATTTACTTTGTATTTTTGATAATAAATACGTTTATTTTTGTCTATATTCTTTCATTCCCAGCATAAACAAGGCCTTGGAAGTAATTCATAATTACAGTCCACTTACAATTAAATTCTTTGTTATCGAAGCCCCCTTGTACGGTATAGAATGCAAGTGGAAATGCGCTTTTGTAAATCGTTTACGATTACTTTTTAACTTGTTATATTTATAAAGTTCACAAAAAATGAAAGATTTTTTCGTGCTCTTGCACTTATTCCACACTATCTAATGCAATGTTTAGTCAAAACCGAGGTCAAAACTAAAACTATTATTGCTATATTTTTTAGTAGTTTGCCCAAATGTGTACTGTATACCCCTTCGGTTAGGCAATATACCTTATTACAGTTACAGCTGAAAAAATACCGCTATAGATACCATGCGCTATAGGAAAAAATTACAAAACGCTCCTGTATACAGTAATCGTGAAAAGTGTTCTGCGTAAATGTTGGGAACGGGGATTTTTTGGGTATACCTATAAGCTTGGCAGAAAAGCATATTATTCTCTCCCCCTCCCGCCCTGCCTTCATATTCCACTTATGCACTGTGAAAGTGGTTTTATAGTAGTGTTTCAGTTATTGGAATTTTACTCATTTGCAGTGAATTGTATATCTACATTTTATTAAGAATATAATTATGAATAATCTTTATATTTAATTAGTAATTCAGATTATTGAAAAAGATGTAGGTGATATTAGTTACATAACATAAGGGGTATTTGACTTGTACATTTAACAATTGAAATAGTAGCTCCTCTATGCTACTACTATATCCTTATCATGATCTGAGACCTCTTTCCTTTTCTGTCTCCACCAAGTGTCATTCGTCTACCTGTTGTTGAGTTTCGACAAAGAGTAACTATAATAAGAGATCCAACGGCATAGAGAATAGTGTTGCATATGTATTGTGTGTTGCCTAACAAATTTTAGTGCTCTTTCCCAATTTTATTGGCGTACGCTGCGCCTAAGGGGCCATTTCAAGGCAACTACTTGTTTAGAAGTTTATAAATATCATTGCAGAAATCCCAGCGTTGCCAAATTTTTAGTGTTTGCTTGCACTTATTTAGGTATCTATTATTCCTTGAAATGTATGATGTTTAAAGATATGTAATTCCATTCTACGGTTATGGCACAATTTATTAAGGTGCGAACGCTTGTTGGTTTGATTCATAGGTGAGAAGATATGTTCTTCGTGTAACAATAAGCCATTTTTTGAGGGGTAAATAATAGATTTTGTACTGTGTATTCCCACTAAGCGCGAGTAATAACCTCGCGTTGATTACGTCTCTGCCCTTTGTACACACTGTCCGTCGTCCTACCGTCGACGGACGTGTGGAAAAGTCGACCGCACTAGATCGTTTAGTTAGAGGAAGTAGTCTAACGAACGATATTTACTTCCGACTTGCGAGGAAATAAACGAAAATTTTTTGAAAAAAAAAAATAGGCCAATAGACGTTTTATAGCATTTATTGTACAAATAATAAGAGAATGAAAGATTCCCGGAAAAAATGTTTCACTTTTTAATTTTTGCCGGCCAAACAATATAATAAAATCAAAATAAACTGCCTCCATTGGATTATAGTTGTGATCGAATGGTTCAAATCAGTTAAAAATGTGATCTGTGGACCTACGCAACCCCACCTCTTTAAAAATGGTTTCTTTGCTATAACCACAGATATACGTAAAGAACAGATTGCTAACCCTAATGCATAAATTGCTTAACAGATTTATCCACTTAATTTAAATCACCTATCTCCTTAATAGAGCCCTCTATTTAGGAATGTTATTACCACAAACAGTTTAGTATTTGGTTCTTGAAGAAGGTTGAAACATTTTCTATGCATTTAACGGTAGGTGTCACTGTAAAAGTAATGTTTTATCTTTTTCTGTAGAAGGAATGCATGATATCATTGAATTTATAACTATATTCAATGATGATATGATGCATGATCAAGTCGACTCGGTTGCGCTTATCTTATCTACGCCAATATTCGTTACGACGGATATGATATTTAACTATTTATAAATTCTTATTTACTACAACTCACTTTTGCTATAGCATTTCGAGTGTTAGACGGAGAGCTGGCTACGGAAAAAAGTGACTTATCCCTACATGGCTGATTTGTTGTCAAGTATGCTGATACATAATGAAGTAGAAAAAGTCATGTCTGCCAGCGAAATCCCGTGCCTTAAGGTTGGGGTTGGGAGGGGTGGTCAAATAAGTCAAATTTTAATAAAACTGCCGATTTTCTGACTATATTTACCTCTGGCGCCTTTATTTTGAATCGGACGCAAAAAATCAATGAAATGTACAGCTTATCAAGGTACATCTTTTTTGTATTTAACATTTTTCGCTATGATGCTTACTTTTCGAGAAAAGTGCAAATTAAAAAAAATTATAAAATAAATAGTTTAACTTATCAATTTAAAATTTCTCAAAAACTAAGAAACTCACAAAAAGATGTAATTGATTTTTATGTGGAGTTTTGTATGCCACATTTGTCAGTGTGTGAAAAATGATTACAAAAGAGTTTTTGTTATGGCCCTTTTAAACTGTATGCATGTGGTTCGTTTCTTGTGAACACGATAACTCAAAAACGCCTGAACCGATTTTTATGAAATTTGGAATGTTTATAGGATTGTATAGGGAATGGCACACGACCTATTTTGGTTT